CCAGCACTTAAACTGGTCAGAATACTAAAATAACATTTTAATGTAAATCTGTTTGGCCATGCAAAGAGATTTATTCTTCCCAGCTGGGCCATATTTCAGGGCACAATCTATATTGTCCTTTAATATGTTCTTCCTCAGACAGTTATTGCCCTTTAATTGTAACAGAATGACAAAGTGAAACATAAAAAGCCTTGTGATTTTTTTCAAACACAGCTAATGCTAAAGTTTCAGAATGACTGTTTTGATTTTAAAAGCCACAGTACTATTAAAGCAGTTATCCAAAATATAGTGCTACTAGCCAGTATAAACCTTTAAATCAGTCAGGGATCAAATATATATAAATACACGTTTTTTAATTTAAGCCAGAAGCCAATTATGTAAGTGGGTCATTTGAAAAAAAGTTGACAAAAAACATTTAAGGAAAGCTGCATATTCAATTTTGCCAATGTCAAAGCCAATGAGCATCATTAGCTCAGCAAGCTCAGCTAATGAGGTCCAGGCAGAGCAAGCCTTATAGAGGAATCTTTCAGAGAGCCATTCTGTAGCCCCTTCCCAAGTCCCAAGTCACTCTACTACAAATTTGGAACAGGTGAAGCCTTCATTGCAGGTGACTTATTTTTTAATGTTGATGATGTCAGCCCATAAACTTCACTTATGCAAAAGAAGAGATGGCGTGAAATATGTGCTCGCTTGGCCAAACTACCTAAGGAGCTTGATGGTGGCTTGGAGGCAGGTGGCACCGCTCCCTTCCCTCCAGCACAGCTTCCCACAGGCTTCCTTCCCCCAGAGCTCGCTCAGCACAAACCCAGGGTATCACCAGGTGCTCTAGGCCCTCTGACTAAAGGCCAAGTTTACTGGGAAGGGTTCAGGATGACTCCTGTACACCAAGAGTAAACATCTTTGGTATATGAAGTGCACTTGAACTATGCTAATGTGTCTCTCTCACAAACAAGAAGAATCTGCATCTGAGAGGGGTACTGAAGCAGTGACATCATGACCCAAGCACTTGCAGATCAAGAACTGAGTATCTCCCTCAGCAGTGAGAATGTACTCAACTGCTTTTTCTGAGCAATTTGTAACAGCAGAAAATTATTCCCTAACCATGCAAAGACATAAAATGACTTTTAATGCAAACATCAGAGTTGCAAATCTTCACACCCTTCTGCTCGAATTTGCCCTTCATGTAGATATTTATGTTGTTGGGCATGATGTATCTTCTTCCTTCATGCATGTGATTAAGGACTTCCTTAGAGACTTATGATATGTTAGCTAAATGGTCACATATTTTAGGATAATCAAACATTAATATTTCTGGGATCTCAAGTACATTTGACCTTCTCCAGTTCTGCTGAAAAGAAATCAGGTAACTGTAGGAAAATGAATCTATTCATTTCCCAGGAAGAAAAAATTGATGATAGCAAAGAAGAGAAAAGCAAGGACATTCTGTTACATCATTTATTCACTTTCACAATACCATTTAGTATCATCTTTCCAATTACTGCTGTTCATAGAATTAACTCTTTGGATACTGATAGTCATATTGAGGAATATCTCACCAAGAAATGGGTTACCTTTTTTTTTATTTAATAAAGTACCACTAAATGTGAAAACAGATATGAGAAACTTACCCACACTTTTAAAAAATTGGGAATTGTGAAATGAGAAGATTTTATATGCTTAGGTTTAGGGAAGCACTGAACAGAAAAGATCTCCTCCTGCTATACTTTTCATGAATACATCTGGATGATATAAAAATTATGGCTTGAAAAACTCCTGTGCAATCATATGTCTCTAAAGGGCTCAGGAAGCTGCTTCATCCTGTGTTGCAATTCCTCATCCCAAAATGACTAACCCCCTAATATGAATAGCGATTTTACTGTTTAATACAGCTCCACAAACCACATACTATTACCTTAGAAAAACAAACTCAGTTTTCAAATAATGGCAAGATGATAAAGGTGCATGACGACGCACAAAACATTTAAAGGGGCTGACAACAGCCTGCCAGCATAAACAGCGTGAGATTAGGCTGTAGGCGCAGCCACAGCAGGCGCTGCAAAGATGCTGAACTCGGTGAGCTCTTGTGTTAGGTTTGTTTGATGCCACTTAGTTGAGGGAATGCAGGATCCTAAAATACTTTAAAATCAAAAGCTGGCACATAAAATGCATCGTTGCCTTCATTTCACAGCTTTTCCACCTCTCGAAAAAACCCAACAAAACAAGGAAGGCAAAACAGAGGGACGGATGGACGGAAGGACGGAAGGATGGAAGGACGGAAGGAAGGAAAAGAAAGAATTACAGGTCTGTGAATAGGAATGTATGCAAACAATTTAAAGCCTGATTTGCATACATGACTAAGATACATTTTATTACTTATAAAAATGACAGCAACTGTCCTGACTACCAGAACTTGCACTGACAAGGCTGTGTCACAACCTTTTGAATACAAACTAATAAAACCCTATCTAGCTCCAGTACTCTCTAAAATGGTGTCCTAGCTGAGCACTGGCCTAGTTTTCTACTAGGCCTCTTAGTGCTTCTGAGACCAGCATCACTGAGTTTGTTTTCTCCTTGAATGACAGGAAGGTGGGGGTTTTAGCTAGAGGATGGCTGGGTTTTCAAGGGTGGGGTGCTTTTTTGTCCAGCCTTTTAAAATGTATGGGTACCCTTGCTGAAGCTCAGTCAGTATGCTAGAGTGATAAGTTAGCCATTTGTTTATGCCACAATGAGTAGGAAAAATAATACCCTGAGGCACTCCAGTATTACTGCTAGGCCAGTGTGATTTTTGAGGCATTAGACTGAAGGCTGAGTAAGTTCTTTCAACCAAGTTATGCTGTAATCTTCCAGGAAATGCAATGTCTATTATGTGTTATTGCTATAATGAAATAATTATACCAAACTAATGAAAATGAGACGTACTTAATAATTCTCTGGGTAAATCCATGACATAGATATGACAGAACTGACAGTGCATCAGAAAGCTCCATTTGTGCCCATAATTTTCAAGTAATAATTGTAACAGTGCCATTTGTTCCACTACAGTTGGTCTTCTGTGGATGTTTTTAAAAGCAGCACTAAATAATGAGCACATTTCCTCATTTAAGCCAAATATTTGAGCATGGTCATTTTTATGCTACACATTTTCACAGGAGTTACTATCTCTCTATACTACTAACTATCTCTCAACAAGTAATTTTCTTGCTTTCACCCTGGTAGATATCTCACTGTATTTCAGTAGGAAGTTTGTCAATGTTAATATTGTTTAAGTGGGATCACATTTTTATATACTCCCCAGCTAAACAGAGAAAGTGCCCATATTTATCAATCTTTAAAACAAAAAAATGGTGGTTTGTATCTCCTGTAACTCTTACTTAATAATTTCTAAAACTAGTAATTAATATTAATAATGCAGTGAATTCTTACTTTAGCTGCTGTGACATACAACCTTGTTTTATACATTACCATGTACCATTATGGATATAACGGGGAAGTGAGCATTAATTTATACTGAATTAATTTCCATTTCCATTTCAAAAGTACTTGATCAGAGCACTTTTTAAAAGTGCCAATATTTTTAAATCAGAAATTGAGAAATAATTACACTGGCAGACATTACACAAAATAATTATCAATCCTCCAGTTTTCACAGAGGTGGCAGAAACATGTTCAGGGACTAATCTTTTAGCAGGACCTGTTGTGACAGGACATGGGTTAATGGTCTTAAACTAACAGAGAGAGGGTAGATTTAGACCGGGTATGATGAATAAATGTTTTACAGTGAGTGTGTGAAATACAGGAACACGATGCCTAGAGGGGTGGTAGATGCTCCATACCTGGGAACAGAGCTCTGAGCAACCTGATCTAGTTGAAGATGTCCCAGCACACTGAATGAGGTTTGGACTAGATGAGCTTTAAAGGTCCCTTCCAACCCAAATTATTCTATGATTCTATGAAATAAGACAAACAAGTATCTAACTTGTTTGTAACTGCAGAAAAGCCAGGTATTTGAAGAATTTGTTCCGTCACCTAATAACTGCAAATACTTGTTCAAGACTTCAAAAGTGCCCATGGGGCTAAATGAGATCCACAGGACATAATATTACAATGACAAACCTAAACTAATGTAAATTGTTGTTATACTGCTGAGGTCTCAGCTTATGCTAACTCCTGATTCACATCATTAACTTCACACATCATAAGTAATTTGAATCACTGAACACAGTGGCTACCTCCAGACTTGCTTTCAGCCATAAATCCCTGATCAGAAACTCACACAAAGTTTGTATTGCTGCACAGAGGCCTGTGCCATGCGTATTTGTTTAGCAAGCCAGGACCATGAAAAAGGATAAAATTCAAGACCATGCTAGTCTAGGTTTTACCCAAGAACTCTCCTAGCTACTGTATGGACATAGTAGGTACGTTTTGAGGAAAGGCATGTTCAATTACAGGCCCTTACCAGTAACCCTTGTACTGACAAAATTGGCACTGAAGTGGCCAAAAGATGCTTCCTGTGAGAGTCCCCAGAGCACCTGGAGCAATGGCAAGCCCTGTCACACAGGATTCCTCATCTGAGAACAGCTGGGTCACTGTACTCCTGCCCCTGGCATAAGAGAAGCCAAGGACAAGGCCAACAGCACATCATATTACTAGGGCTGTGAGCAGGAAACACATCACAGTTCAGCTGCACACAACTTCTAATGCAAATACAGGACACAATACTGTGTACAAAAAAAAAAAAAAGGAAGAAGAAGAAGGAAAAAAAGCCTTTTACAGGCATAGAAGTACAATCAATCGTGGTTTATACAAACCAAGGAAAAAAGAGACAGAGACCCTTAGGAAATCATAAACAATATTGAAAATATGCTGGCAAGAAATCATTTTCAGATAAAAATACATAAACCCATTCATATTCCTCTTAGCTTGCTTATAATACATAAGACAGCATGCAAAATAAGGAACAATTATATATAAAGAATGAGCAACTGAAAATTTGAACTTACATATGACGTAATAATCTTTGTTCTTCTGAAATTCCAGGCCCCAGAGATTAGGACTGAACTCTTGAAACTTGATGGTAAACTTAACATCTTGATCTGGCTTGGCACAGTTAAGTAGAGGTGTATTGTCCTTTTTAATAGCACAGCTATCTGCTTGGTCTTTATCAACCATGTAGACCTTATAATATTCATATTGGCCAATAGTTTTAGAGTCCACCTTCGGGCATATAATATCCAGTTTGTCTCCAATTTGTGGATATAGTACCAATCCTTGTCCAGGAAGGAATCTAAAAGGAAGGAAAGAAAAAGGGGGGATGGGGGAAGAGAAGAAAAGATAAAATTTGAGGTATTTAATAAAATTGCATGCAGAAAAGTAGCAACTGCAGTGAACAGACAGGAATAAACAGTTTCCAAAACCAAAATGACAGACTGAGCAAACCAAATCTTAATAGTTTGGGCTTGATTCAATATCAACAGGATGTTTATTTAGATCCTGGAAATTATAGATGGATTGAGTCTTTTAGTCCTTATCCCAGTTTTGGGCACACTAGCAGATTTTACACCTCTCTCTGGCAGGCACTGCTGTTTTTTGCACTGCATTTAGCCATGCAGAGCGGCTAATACAATACCTGGTGAGCTATGATTCTGTTTTCCTGTTTTGCTCATATTTCTACTATTCTTGCACATATTTTGCTAATTTTGAATATAGAAGGATGACAAAAATAATATTTCAACCCCCTTTAACAGCCATGTGGGACAAGAAAAAATGTAAGACTTTAACAATATATCAACATGCTGATAAATATTGTTATATTACTAGTGTAACACAGAGGAACATCAGACACTCAACCAGGACAGATCTCTGCAATGGACAGAGATTTACCTGATCCATGGACCACACATGTTTTTAGGAAAAATACTTATATCCAGGACAGTGTGACCATTCCACTACAATGATTTCTCTTCACAAATTCCACCATTACTGTCATTATTTTAGCTCTTCTTTGATTTTTTTTTTTTTTTTTTTTTTTTTTTTTTTTTTTTTTTTTTTGTGCTAGTAGTTAAAGATAGGTGTGCGTTTTTTATTTGGGAAGACTTCTTACACAAACTGGCAGGGAGCTTTAATATTTGCAGTTAGACACAGTATTTTGTCTTTCCTACTCATATTAATTAACAGGCAAACATGACCACTTCTTCATGGAAGAAAAATACAAATAATTACTTATAGTATTGATTCATGCACAAAATAAGGAGTCATGTTCTCACAAGGACAAAAGCCACAGCAAGTTTGTTTGTTTCTCTCTATTAAGACATATTTGTTTCAATTAAGGCCAAGAAGTGCATGTTTTAGAACAACAGCCAGAAACACAACCAATGTACTCGAATGCACAGACCTAAAAGACTTTCTTTCCTCTTTTTCCTGCCTGCCAGCATTTTCCAAAGATCTTCCTTAATGGAGAATCGGCCTGAAAAACCAAGTGAAACAATTCCTGTCTAATGAACGCCCTTCTCCAAGTGCTAATATTTAAAGAGCACACGTAGTAAATCTAGCTTATTCACAGGCAGCCTTCCTGGAAACTTTAAATTAGAGTATCAAGGCCCACGCAGAACAAAGCTGTAGGCGTCGGTGACCTCCAACCTCTGGCTTGGCAAAAGGAGCCACCAGCATGAAGTACCGGTGGGGGAAAACCCACTAAATTAAAGCATGATGCAACGCCCCAAATTTCGAATCCATCATTTACAACTGCTTGCTCCACACAATTCAAGTTTATGATCTGTGCTAATTGAAGCAGGATTATTTTCACTCACAAAGCCAGTGTAAGAATTGTATTTGTTATGAAGCAGCACATAGCAGGACAAAGACGTGTAATTACAGATTTAGGGAACTAGAACAATGAAATGTTATGGCAAGAAAAGCGACTGTTGATGTATAAATCACTGCGCTCTTTTGTGCTCTGCAGTGTAATTTCCAGACTGCAGAAACTGGGCTTGGCCACGGCTGCTCAAACCGAGATTGAAGTGGAGACAGGGCAAAGCTGTGCCTCCTCCTCCAGTTTTCAGACATGCCAAAGGAATGCAGCGACTACCGCCTCCGGAAAGCTGAAATGGTCAAACAAATGGAAAGGTGGGAATGCATCCTCGGAGTTACCAGCCTGCTGAAGGACAACCAGAAGTGTGTGTAGGTATGGCACCTAAAGATGTGGTTTAGTGGTGAACACAGCAGTGCTAGGTTAACAGCTCGACTTGATGGTCTTACAGGTCTATTCCAACCTGAACCATACCATGATCCTATGACTGAGGGGGATCCCAGCCAGCAAATATTCCCAAGTGAGCAGCATGTACTCACTCTGATTTTGGCTCTCCTCAGGGATCAACTCTGACCAGGCAAAAGCAAAGGGACAGAGTTTCCAAGCCAACCTGTGTCACCTGTGACTGACTTTACCACCTTGTCTGACCACAGCCCCATTTTAACTTTGCCCCTGTGCAGCACAGCTGTATCAGGAAGATGACAATCGCTCCTATTCCCCTATCTGTATGCCAGGACAAAGGCTGGTCACTGTATGATCCCATTGCTGCAAATACTTCTTCTTGACAGCAATTCTTCTTCACATAACAGGACTGTGTAATAGGAAACCTGAGATTTCAAAGGACTGAATCTTTGCTTGTAAGTTAATCAAGTTAGATTCCCATACATAACAAATATGAAATTCTTAAGGTTAGATAAATGTACCTGTCCATCATTATCAATAATATAACCTAGAATCTGTCCTGAGCAACAAAAGACACTGATTCTAATTTTAGACTTTGTGTATATACATGTAACAGCCACAGTATATGTTCTCCATGCAAACTCTGAGCACAAACAGGATGGGTTGAGAGATGCTATGCCAGGCAATCCTCAGAAACATCTCCAGGAAAGAGGGCACACTTGTGAGCCTTAGTTTCAGCCAGGAATTGTCCCATAAAAGGTAGCGGACAGAACTGTCCCCAACAGACAGTCAAAACTACATTTTACAAGAGCTTTAAATGAATGCACTTGTTAGACTTTATGGTAGGGAATATTCTTGCTATGACTCTGAAGTCTGTACAGTTTTAGAACTAAACTCAGTAAATCTCAATCTCCTTCTACTTGAGTGTCTGAACTTGTAGGATCTAACGCTGATGGAATTAGGGAAGAAAAAAGGCTTAAAATGCAAGGATTAATCTGAGAATTTGATTGTATTGAAATTTTTCCACACTTTGCAGTTTTGATCATAACCTTTGCTAGGAGAGATATTTTTCCAATTTACTTTCCTTATTTTCTTACAACAACAAAGCCCAAATATGGATGGAGTTAATAAAAAAGTTTCACCTCATGCATTTCAGTTCAACCACAAAACTTACAGTGGCTGATGAGTCGCAGGCATGATTATTATCCCTGCATTTGTGTAGTACTTTTGCTACTATACTTTTTATAAAGACTTTAAATAAATCATTTGCTGGGTACTAAGCATTTTCTGAAGCTATTTATGAAATGTCAGGAGGATTAAGACTACTGTTTTTTATGATCCTATTTTTGAAGACCTTCTATCTGATAAAAAAAGAAAAAAGAAAAAAGAAAGGACAATGTACATTCAGCCTTGGTGGAGGTTAAAAAGCATCAGGATTAATCCTGAGTCTTCATTTCTCCAACATCAGCAAGTGTTGATGTTGACTTAAGTATTCCAAAGTAGCATCAAGACTGACGAAATGTTTGCAGGATGCTGTCTATAAAAATTAAGTTAACAAAATGGCTTTAAAAGTCTGATCAAAATGTGCCTTCAACTAATTAGAAAGCTTTTTTTTTTTTCACATCAAAACAGAGATATAATAAAGATGAAGCAAGGTGTTTCCAGAATCCTGGGACTGATCCTGTGGAGGCTGTTACTTCAATGGTGGCTTGGACAGTGACATGCTCTCCAAGTAGTCAGGGTAGCCACAGCACTGGAACCATTGCTTTCTATAAAAAGCCTTCTAACTTTCTGCATTTCAGCTCTAAGTATGATTTACTGCAAAACTTAAATACCAACATAGGCCCCTGGATCCCAACAAAAACTTAAGAGAAAAGCTTAGCAAGCTTCCCAACTCATTTCTGTCAGCAGTCAGATACAAAGAGACTCTTGGAGCATTTGAAAAATCCTGCTCACAATAAATAATCCTGGTGCCTGCTGTGAGAAAGCAGAGAAAAGTATATTAAGTACCATATAAGCTGTATGATGAAATTCATGCACTTTCTGTCTAGCACTTTTCGATACAGATGGCATTTTTACTGTCAGCCCAAAACTGGTGCATTGTGGGCGACATTTGACATCTGTGCAAAAGCCCATGGATGTGAATCCCTCCCACATGTCCAACTAGTCATGCAGCTCATCAAATAACAACACCTTGCAGAGTTCCCAAACCTTTTTTAAAATAATTGTTGTACTTGACCAAAAAGTCACAGAGTTACAAACAGAAATTAGGAACAGAGTAGTAAATTCCCGACTCACACCAACACTTCAATGATTTTATTTACCACACTTATTTTGAGTCTCAGCAGCCGCTCCTGGCAATAATGCAACCTTACTTGTCAAAGTCTTCAAGAAGTTAAATTTGATTGTGACATTTTTTTAAAAACTATATTAGTTTCCAAAGAATTTCTTAAGAATCTACTTATTGTTTAGAGAAACAAACTTACACATTCAACCATATTAATTTACAAAGAAATTTTGCTTAATGATAACCACTCAAACTTGCCTAACCTCATAATAGCAAACTCTCTCTCAAAAAAAAGTAGAACTTAACCTGCCCACACTCTCATTCAGTGAGAATATTCTATCATTTCTTAGTATGCAGAAAATTCTGAAATTGTAAAATTATCTACAGAAAAAACATCTTAGAGAAATAAATTCTTAAGAGTTTTTGTTAATCAGTATTTAGTGATGGAACCCTTGTTTTGTCAGGGTTTTTCCAACTTGTGAAACTAGACACATACATATATGTACATATACTATAAATATATATGCGTACTTAGCTTTAACTATATTCTAGTAATTATAAAATAAATATGATTTTAGAAAGCATGTTAGTACTTGATGCAAGGCTTGTATATTTAACTGGAGAGGCAGTGCCAAATTTCTGTGCTTTAATAACTTACCCGAACTAATTGGTGTAGGCAGTTAGCTTTAAATTAATGTCACAAAAATAATCCTAAAAATGTGAACAATCAAGACGCTTCTTAAAATGCAGTCTGAAACCTACTGTTGGGGAATCCTACCCACTTAACTTT